GTCAGAATGCACACCGCAGTCCAGCTATAAGTCGCTGATCTCCGCCATTACTAGTATAAAGAAAAAAATCCAGTATTTATACCACCAATTGTACACTCTATAACTTCCACGTACATCAATGTGATTTTTTACTGGACATGTTTAATAGCAAAAAGTCAAAAATATTGTTTTTTTTGTCAAAATTGTCGGCCTTTTTTTTCATAGTGCAAAAAATAAAACCCGCACAGGCGATTGAATACCACCGAAAGAAAGCTCAATTCGTGGGAAAAAAAGGACGTAAATTTAATTTGGGTGCAGCATTGCTTGACCACGCAATTGTCAATAAGGCAGCGCCGTAACGCAAAAAATGGTCTGGTCAGGAAGGGGGGTAAATCCTCTGGAGGGCAAGTGGTTAAGGGATAGTTCACCTTCACCAAAGAACTATCTATGCAGGTAAGCAAGGTCTGTGGATAAAAACAAGCTGTGTGTCTCTGACTAAAGTTGAATAATGTCCTTCTATAGGCATAGACCATTTACATACCTCATGAAGCCTAACTGGAATATTTCCAGGATGTTGCTAAAATGTCGATAAGTGAGGTTCCACTCAGCTCCTGTCACTCTCAGCTTCTGTCACTCTCAGCTCCTGTCACTCTCAGCTCCTGTCACACTCAGCTCCTGTCACACTCAGCTCCTGTCACACTCAGCTTCTGTTACTCTCAGCTCCTGTCACACTCATCTCCTGTCACATTCAGTTTCTGTCACTCTCAGCTCCTGTCACTCTCAGCTCCTGTCACTCTCAGCTCCTGTCACACTCAGCTCCTGTCAATCTCAGCTCCTGTTACACTCAGTTCCTGTCACACTCAGCTTCTGTCACTCTCAGCTCCTGTCACATTCAGCTCCTTTCACTCTCAGCTCCTGTCACACTCTGAGGAGAATCCTTTTTCAGTTCCGGAAATATCTGGTTCTCTCTCTGCTGATTGGTCCATTGCTGTTGCTAGGAGAGAGAGGGAAGAGAGTCCACACATACAGTCCTCTCTTGTGGTTACACTCTGCACTGCTCACAGGAGGAAGGGGACCACAGGGAGTTGCACAGACAACCAACAGCTTACCTCTCCCTTGTCACAGTACAGTTGTTTACACAGTAAACTGGTGGAGAGGGCAGGGCAGCAGATGAGCTGAGGAAGAAAAGGACTGGCTGCCTGGCTACACTTAAAAAGCCTTTACATGTTACCAGTTTAGAGTTAAAAGTTAGCTATGGCACTAGAAGTATTGCTCTCACGCGTGTGTATCTTTATATTACACAGTCCCAGATGGGGGCTAATCAAGTTTCCCATCCGAATGCCCTTTCCCCTTATCCAGCCAAGGGGGGTGGAGGACTACTTACTTCTCCTTTCCCATGAGCTTATTGGATTGGTAGCTGCCTTCAGGACTTCCGCTGGGCTGGCTCCTTCCTTGCTGCATAGGTGGTCCACTCTCAGTGTCACGTACCTGATGGGAGACTGAATTGACGAGGTCGGCCTCACTTGTGTCACTAGCCCTGACCCCGCTGAATTTGGAACAGAGGGAGTCTAGGGACCAGGGGGGCAAGAGTGCCAGAGGTTTGCTTGCGGCTCTTGCAGATGATGACCTCGGTAGGCAGGATATCCTCTGATTTGGGTATTGTAGCAATAGACTAGGTAGGTACAGTGGATTGCCAGATGCACAGCAGAGCCAGGTTTGTAGCCAGGACACAGGACTGGAGCGGAGTCGTAGGATAACCAGGGTCATAACAGTCGGGCAGCGCGGTACAGGATCAGGAGGAAAAGCCAAAGTCAGGATCAGAGCCGAAGTCAGGAACCGGGGGCAGGACAGTACTCAGAGTCGGGTCAGGAACAAGCCGGGTCAGCACCAAAGGAATCGCACAGGAACTAGCAGGACACAGGGGGAGCTGAAGACCAGTCAGCACTGAATCCGGGCAGAGGCGCACCTTAAAAAGCCCGTCTGGCGCCAATCTTCGCCGTGCGTGTGCATGCATGTGCGCACAACCGGCAATTCTTCTGAGGGATCTCTTTCGTGCATGCGCGTTCCCACAATTCTCCTTGCAGGAATTCTCTTACACTCAGGGGACTGCTGGGGACCCTTCTTTCAGCTTGTACCTGGAGGTAGGCCCCTTCCCACTGGGCCCCCCTCCAGGTTCCTGCATCCTGGCCCCTCATTTCATCTTCCACCCAAATTCTCCTGCTGGTGAGCAGGCTCATTTCCACTTAAAGGTTGTTCTGGCCCCATGCCAATCCTCCTGCTTGGGGATTGACCACAGTCCCTCAAGCAGGGCTGCTGTTAGAAACCACGGGGCCTATCACGTACCTGGTGATGGAGGCCAATGGAGAAAGGGCTTCTCTTGTGGCTAAGTTCCGGACTCCCCTGAGAGTGGGACAGTGGGAGTCTGGCCCAAAGTTGCACAGGTCGCCTGTAGGAGTGCTGTTTGGTGGTCAACTCAGAAGCACAGCTGGTGCACGGAGATAGGTCTGCAGACAGGAGGTGCCTGTGCGTGGCATGCAAGCCCTTCCGGGATTTGGATGTTTACTGGATAGTCGGTTCAAGCCAAGGTCAGGTACCAGGTGGGAATCAGAGCGGACGTAGTCAGATGGGATAGCCGAGGTCATTCACAGAGGAGTGAGAGAAAGAGTATCCGTAAGCCCAGCCGAGGTCAGATTAGGGGTAAATCAGAGTAGACAGGTCCAGGAGCAAGCCGAGTCGGTAACTGGAAATCACAAGTCAGAATCAAAGGAAACAGGAACAGGGCATGGGGAGCTAGAGATCTACCAGCAACCAGAGGAAGTGATGAGCCTCCTTATAAAGGCCGTCTGGCACCAGACTGAGGCTGATGTGTACTTCTGCGGCCATGTAGAGTACTGGCAGAAATGCCAGATCTTCCAGAACTCCTGCCATGGACAGAACCCTGACAGGGCCTGTCAGGGCTTCGGGGTGTGACCAGAGGTATGTGACTGACGCAGGGAAACGCAGGCTTCAGATAAGTTATAAACAATATAATTTATTAAAGACTAACAATACAAACATAAACGCAGTGCAATACTAAAACATAACACAGTGCAAATGAACCAAACCAAACCAAACCACCCACAGATAACAGTACATACAATGCAAGCGTCGTCAGGCAGGCCGGGTCAATAACAATCGGGCAGGTAGGTAGAGGGGGTCAGGCAGAGAATGGTCGGGGTCACAAGCCAGGGATGAAACAGGAGAAGTCAGCAGAGGTCCGGATCAGGCAGGGTCAGCAACGAATCAGTCAGACAGGAACAGGAACAGGAACAGGAATGCAGGAACAAGATACAGGGCCCAGGAAAAACACACACCAAGGCAGAGACTGCAGGTCTGGCCATCCCTTAAATACACCTGCATGATCAACTTCAGGTGTTTGGCTGGCTGCAGGGTTGAGTCTCTGATTGCCGGGAGCACCCGCTGGCCAGCCCTGGTACTGCAGCCCACAAGGCAGGTGGGTCCCACCATTACTGGCAAGTCCATTCCTCACAGTACCCCCCCCCTCAAGGAGCGGCCTCAGGACGCTCCAAACAGTCCTAGCTGGGCAAAATGTTCCACCGCCCGGGTCTGGTAACTGGCGGGATATCAAAGACTGGCACATCGGGCAGGACTCCGGCAATGGCACACCGGGCAGGACTCCGGGCAGCGGCACACCGGGCAGGACTCCGGGCAGCGGCACACCGGGCAGAGGCACACCGAGCTGGACTCCGGGCAGAGGCACACCGGGCTGGACTCCGGGCAGAGGCACACCGGGCTGGACTCCGGGCAGAGGCACACCGGGCTGGACTCCGGGCAGAGGCACACCGGGCTGGACTCCGGGCAGCGGCACATCGGGCAGGATTCCGGGCAGCGGCACATCGGGCAGGACTCCGGGCAGGACTCCGGGCAGAGGCACATCGAGCTGGACTCCGGGCAGAGGCACATCGAGCTGGACACCGGATCACCAGGCGGAGCAGCAGGCACCGGGCCACCAGGCGGAGCAGCAGGCACCGGGCCACCAGGCGGAGCAGCAGGGACCGGGCCACCAGGAGGGGCGACAGGCATCGGGCCCCCAGGAGGGGCGACAGGCATCGGGCCCCCAGGCGGAGTGGTGGGCGCCAGGCCCCCAGGAGGGGCGACAGGCATCGGGCCCCCAGGCGGAGCGACAGGCATCGGACCCCCAGGCGGAGCGACAGGCATCGGGCCCCCAGGCGGAGCGACAGGCATCGGGCCCCCAGGCGGGGCGGCGGGTGCCGGGCCCCCAGGCGGAGCAGGTGGGCGCCGGGCCCCCAGGCGGAGCGGCAGGCGCCGGGCCCCCAGGCAGGCGCCGAGCCCCCAGGCGGAGCAGGCATCGGGCCCCCAGGCGGGGCGGCAGGCGCCGAGCCCCCAGGCGGGGTGCCGGGCCCCCAGGCGGGGCGACAGGCATCGGGCCCCCAGGCGGGGCGACGGGCATCGGGCCCCCAGGCGGGGCGATGGGCATCGGGCCCCCAGGCAGAGCGGCGGGCGCGGGCGCCGGGCCCTCAGGCGGAGCGGCAGGCACCGGGCCCCCAGGAGGGGTGGCGGGCGCCGGGCCCCCAGGAGGAGCGACGGGCACCGGGCCCCCAGGCGGAGCGGCGGGTACCGGGCCCCCAGGCGGGAGCGGCGGGCACCGGGTCATCAGCCACAACAACGGGCATCGGGTCACCAGGCATCAGGTCATTTGGCTCGCCAGCGGGCACCGCGTCATCTGGCAAGGCAGTGGGCACCGAGTCACCAGGCACGACAGTGGGTTCCGAGTCAACTGGCATGACCACGGGCACTGGGTCAGACATTGGATCGTCTGGCTCGACAGCGGGCATCGGGTCACCAGGCATCAGGTCATTTGGCTCAACAGCGGGCACCGCGTCACCTGGCAAGGCAGTGGGCACCGAGTCACCAGGCACGACAGTGGGCTCTGAGTCAATTGGCACGACAGCGGGCACCGGGTCATCAGGTACCGGATCGTCTGGATCGACAGCGGGCACCGGGTCATCTGGCGTTGGATCGTCTGGCTCGACAGCGGGCATCGGGTCACCAGGCATGACAGCGGGCACTGGGTCACCAGGCATCAGGTCATTTGGCTCGCCAGCGGGCTCCACGTCATCTGGCAAGGCAGTGGGCACCGAGTCACCAGGCACGACAGTGGGCTCCGAGTCAACTGGCATGACCGCGGGCACTGGGTCAGACATTTGATCGTCTGGCCCGACAGCGGGCATCGGGTCACCAGGCATGACAGCGGGCACTGGGTCATCAGGCATGGGATTGTCTGGCTCGACAGCGGGCATCGGGTCACCAGGTATGACAGCGGGCACTGGGTCACCAGGCATCAGGTCATTTGGCTCGCCAGCGGGCACCGCGTCATCTGGCTCGACAGCGGGCACTGGGTCATCAGGCGTGATAGGATCATCAGGCTGGATCAGTTCATCAGGCTGGGTACAGGCATCAGGCTGGGTACAGGCATCAGGCTGAAGTGGGGGTGCCGAGGCACCAGGCTGAACCACGGAAAGCAGGTTCTCCGGTTTGGATACTGGCAGGATGGTACTGGTTGGAAAGAATTTCCGCTTTTTTCTGGTTTTAACTACTGGGCACTGCAAGTAAACGCAGGTCTGCAAACGAATGGAGCAGCTGAGGACAGAGAAGAGCTGGAAGATGGAACAGAGGAGGGAGCAGTTGCTACAGAGGACTTCTTTACAGGGTGAAAGAAAGGATAGGTGCAGCGAGTGGGAGCAGGGGACTGGTATGTGGTAGTTAGAGTATACTGGGCAGTCACTGGGGGTGCTGTCGAGGATGCAGGAAGAGTGCCTTGAGTGGAGGAATGATGTTGTAAGCTGACTGAGGCTGGGTGCAACAAGTCTGACCATGTCTGCAGTATGGGTTGAACGAAGCTCAGTTTACACAAAGCCTGTCTGGTCAATGACTGCACTGCGTTTATACAATCTCTTAGTATCTGTGGTGAACATGCAGAGTAACGTTCCAGAAAGTAATCCACATCATCCTCTAATAACCATACCAGGGACTCTACCTGGTCGGCACTAAATGGCGGCAAAAATTCATCCCTGCATTCGGGGGTACCAGATGAAACCAACTCTACACAAACCTGAATCAATGGCTGCACCTCAGAGAACTCTGTGCTCTGATCTACTAGGCAATGAGCGATCCGTATACATTCTAGCAGTTCATCCCTGGGATACTCCTTCAGAGTCTGATAAGCATATTCTCTGTCATCAAACACTAGCAGAGATAAATACACAACCTCATCAAGATCCATCCTTCCCAGCAACAAGCCAAGATGGCTTCCCTGTGCAGCCACTTCTGGTCAGGATTGGCCTTGGTGTAATGTCAGGGCTCCGGGGTGTGACCAGAGGTATGTGACTGACGCAGGGAAACGCAGACTTCAGATATGTTATAAACAATATAATTTATTAAAGACTAACAATACAAACATAAACGCAGTGCAATACTAAAACATAACACAGTGCAAATGAACCAAACCAAACCACCCACAGATAACAGTACATACAATGCAAGCGTCGTCAGGCAGGCCGGGTCAATAACAATCGGGCAGGTAGGTACAGGGGGTCAGGCAGAGAATGGTCAGGGTCACAAGCCAGGGATGAAACAGGAGAAGTCAGCAGAGGTCCGGATCAGGCAGGGTCAGCAATGAATCAGTCAGACAGGGACAGGAACAGGAACAGGAATGCAGGAATGCAACAAGATACAGGGCCCAGGAAAAACACACACCAAGGCAGAGACTGCAGGTCTGGCCATCCCTTAAATACACCTGCATGATCAACTTCAGGTGTTTGGCTGGCTGCAGGGTTGAGTCTCTGATTGCCGGGAGCACCCGCTGGCCAGCCCTGGTACTGCAGCCCACAAGGCAGGTGGGTCCCACCATTACTGGCAAGTCCATTCCTGACAGGGCCCCATATAGCCAACGTGGCATGGCCCGCCATCAAAAAAAAAGTGGCATGGCCCGCAGTTATGAATGAACATAGTGTGTGATCGGTACCAAGCACTCATTGTGTTCATTCAACCCCCCAGAAAGGGGCTGGCAAAATGTGACATATTCACTGAACTTTGCCCCCACTCTCCATCCTGAAGGATCCCATTGTGTGCATGCAGCTGCTGGTAGGAAGGATGAGGGAAGCCGGCAGCACTGTGAGGGTGGGGGCACACAGAGGGACGGGGGGAAACATGGGAATATGTATGGTGCACAGGGAGGGTGATCAGGTGCTATGGGGGGGGCAATTACTGGAACCAATCCCCTGTATGGCTCTCTCTGCAGTGGCTGAAAGCCAGTGGGAGGGAGAGGAGAAGAATACAGCTTTCAGCTTCTGCAGAGAGAGCCAATCAGGGGATTGGTCCCAGAAATTGCACCCCCGCCGTGCCGATCACCCTCCCTGTCCACATCTGATTCACCCAGCTGCCTGGGCCCCCCTGCTGGCCTGGGCCCTGTACAGGAGGACTGGTGGTACCCCCTTATCCACAGCCCTGCCCTAAAGTGTGCAGATCAGTCCTTCTTCACCTCCGCCCACTACCTTCCAGAAATTTCTTAAATCTCTAGAGCAGGAGGAGGTATCAGATAACTGATCTGAATAGCCCTCAACCCTAACCTAAAATGGCCTGATTGACTCACACCCAGGCTAACTCATGCCCATGCTGCTAGCCAGCCTTTCTTTCTAAAAAAAATAAATAAATAACTAGCTCTCCATGGCTATCTAGAGAAGTCCCACACAAAATACATGTTTAGCATTTTTTTGAGACAGATAGAGCTTTCTTTTGGTGGTGTGACAGACCCAACTGGGACAGAGGCTTTTGGAGGGGACTACAGGCTAGTTTCTTGCCTATTGACCATGGGCCCTGGCATCTGAGGGGGCTCTATCCTTTTGGAGGTGTGTGCCTGGGGGGGGGGGGGCATTTTACTTCAGATTCAGGTCCATGTGTCTCCAAAACACACTGACTCTGAGAACTGGAGGATCAGAATTCAGTTTTGGGGTCTCTGTGCCCAAACCAGCATTGACTGCTTCAATCTCCCCTGCCTAGATTTAGAGACTCTAGCAGATGTTAATATAATCAGCTCAAAACAACCTGATACTGAAGTCTCATACTGTAAACTGTTTAAGATGTGATGTGTTGTGTATTTGTACCATTGTAATTCAGTTAACTGAGTCACCTATTGTTTGGTCCCCCTGGAGGTTCCTACATGATGGTTTTAGTCTGGTGTCAGCTTGACCTCGATACCTAATCAGTGTGAGATGTTTATCCCAATGTGTAATGTTTGTTTTTATTGTTCATGTGGGGACTGCCCCCTTTTTGGAGTGTATAAAAACCTGTATTTCTGTCCAATAAAGAGTTCCAGTGTTTGCACCTAAGCTAGTGTCGCCTACTCTTGGGTGCGATGGCCAGTTATAATATCTTGGTCCTATGTCCCAGCAGCCTGGAAGTAGTTCTCTGACGGAATCAATTAATCAGGCGACAGATGGTCCATCACAGGTGATATTTAATCACCACGGGGTTTTTTTTTTTGCTATATAAATGAAATACAGAAGAAGAAGAAAGCCCCCAAATGACCCCTTTTTGGAAAGTAGACAGTCTGAGGTATTTAGAAAGAGGAGGAACACTTCCTATGCCACCCTTGGGGCCCTGAAGACACTAACCAGCTTCCCGATTGTCTGGAATATCAGATGTCCAGCAGCAATCTCCTCCATGATGTCTGCAGTCTCTGATCATCTCCTCCATCATGTCCGCATTCTCCGATCGTATCCTCCATCATGTCCGCAGTCTCCGATTGTCTCCTCCATCATGTCCGCAGTCTCCGATTGTCTCCTCCATCATGTCCGCAGTCTCCGATCGTCTCCTCCATCATGTCCGCAGTCTACGATCATCTCCTCCAGCATGTCCGCAGTCTCTGATCGTCTTCCCCATCATGTCCGCAGTCTACGATCATCTCCTCCATCATGTCCGCAGTCTCCGATCCTCTCCTCCATCGTGTCTGCAGTCTTTGATCATCTCCTCCATCATGTCTGCAGTCTCCAATCATCTCCTCCATCATGTCTGCAGTCTCTGATCGTCCCCTCCATCATGTCTGCAGTCTCTGATCATCTCCTCCATCATGGCGGCTCCAAAAGGACCTCCTAATAACAGGAAGATGGCAGTGCAGGACTCGAGTTACAGCAGGAAAATACTTAATTTGCTGGGCAGGAATGTTAATCAGGTAATCCCATCAAAGCCCCCATTACATCAGTGTCCCCATCAAAGTCCCCCCTTACATCAGTGAACCCATCACAGTTCCCCTTGCATCAGTGACCCCATCAGGTTTGTTTTTACATCAGTGTCCATATCAGAGTCCTTCCTTACACCAGTGACCCCATCAGAGTCCCCCTTGCATCGGTGATCCCATCAAATCCCCTTTACATTAGTGACCCCATCAGAGTACCCCTTATGTCAGTATCTCCAACAAACTACTCCTTATATCAGTGACCCCATCAGAGTCCCCCTTACATCAGTGACCCCATCAGAATCCTCCTTACATCAGTCAACCCATCAGAGTCCCCCTTGCATCAGTGACCCTATCAGATCCTCTCCTTACACTAGTGTTACCATCAGAATCCCTCCTTACATCATTGACCCCATTAGAGTCCCTCCTTACATAAATGCTCTCCCACTTAAAACAGTAACCCCATCAGAGTCCTCCTTTTACCAGCATCCCTGTCAGAGTCCTCCTTACATCAGTGACCCCATTAGAGTGCCCCCAATCATAAGTGACCCTCTTAGAGTCCCCCTTAAGTAAGTGACCCCATAAGAGTCCTCCTTACATCAGTGACCCCATCAGAATCCCCCCTTACATCAGTGACCCCATCAGATTCCCCCTGACATCAGAGATCTCCTCAGAGTCCCCATTAAATCAGTCACCCCCTCCTTTCAGCAGTGACCCCATCACAGTCCTCCTTACATCAATGACCCTATAAGAGTTCCCCTTTACATCAGTGACTCTATCAGAGTTCTCCTTACATCAGTGATCCTATCACAGTTCCCCTTACATCAGTGACCCCATCAGAGTCCTTCCTTACATCAGGGTCCATATAAGGGTCCTCCTTATATCAGTGACCTCATCAGAGTCCCCACTTAAGTCAGTGATCCCATCAGAGTCCCTTCCTACATCAGTGACCCCATCAGAGACCCCCCTTACATCAAAGACTCCATCAGAGTTCCCCCTTTCATCAGTGACCCCATCAGAGTCGCTGCTTACAACAGTGACGCCATCAGAGTCCTCTTTACTTCGGTGACCACATAAGAGCCCCCTTATACCAGTAAACTCATCAGAGTCCCCCTTACATCAGTGACACCATCAGAGTCCCACCTTACATCAGTGACCCCATCAGAGTCCTGCTTACATCTGTGACATCATCAGAGTCTC